GAATAGGACAGTACGGGAAGCTTAACAGACTCAGGGGGAAAAGTAGTGAGGCAACCTCAAAGCAATCCGGCCGAAATTTCGCTGGTAGATTGTCACAACGGTTGCCCACCGAAACTTTGACACCGTTGTTTATATCTAGTGAAGCACGCCGCAGCACGATAGTCAACAGAAATCCAGTTTTCTTACAACAACATGGAGAAGCGCCTGTTTATCAGCCATAGACGCATTGGCTTAACCCCATATAGGCTCAGAATGAGCCGACATATTTCCTGTGTCACCCTGTGCTATGGGCGACGCAAGGCTAAGGGCGATTAGGTGAACTCTGAACACCCTACAACAGCTCGGTGCAAGACCCCGGTAGCCTTCAACCTGTGGAGATGTTACTGAAGGTCCCATGACAGATGGTTCGGGATTCTACTACAATAACTAAAAAGTACAGAATCAGTCCAAAAGAAAAATTAGCAGATTTCACCGAACTCTCCCCCCCGCTTCATCCGCGCTGCTTGACGGTTTCCGTGGGGCAAAATGGACGCAGGGAGGGATCCACGCTGGCAGATGCGTGATGAACGACAGGCCTAAATAATGCCCATAGGAGGTTTCAATTTTTAATAGCATATCAAGGCAGGGGTGCTGTGAAATCTGCAGCAACAAAAAGCCTGCAGAATGCTGAAACCTGAGGCTGCGTCTGCTTTTACCTTTGGTAGGAAGGCCGGCCGCCGGCCGGTTCAAACTTAAATAGGCCTATAACAAGCAGTGAATGACAGCTGTGGAGAAAATCTGAAATGTTCACACAGGATTAAGCTGAATTTCTGCCCCTAGAAAACCGCAAACCTACCAAGGTGAAAATTAGTCTACTCGTGTGTTTTGCCTCAACTATGAGAGGGAGTTGCGTTTTCTGGTTTAAACTGCATCATGGGGTCATATGCTACGACCTTTCGTTACCTGAATTTGAAATGTGAAATGCTTTCCCGTGTGTATTTCCCCTATTTTATTTCTCTTTTCCGAAGTGCTTTACTCAAAACTCGACCTCGACAACAAGTCGACTTCGTACGAGGAACAACTCTGTGCCTTGCATCTTCAGAACCAGTTCTAAATGCGCTTGCATTTAGATACTGTGGGAGGTATTTTTTCAAAAGCCACTTACAACTAATCTTCGTTACCTGCAGTTCTTGGGGTGGAACTGCAGCGCCGGCACAGCCAAGACCGTTCCGAAGTTTGTCAATAAACGTTTTGCCCATCTGAAATGAAGTGTCTTGACTCTTTTTCTCATGTTTGTAAAATAAATTATATGTTTCTGTACCAAATGTTGGCGGATAACTGCCGGCGTTTCCTTAGAGGTACCCTCCTCTGAGCCACAGGCCTTGAACTTGTCCCCTGCTCACGAGGAGAGCGACCAGGCAGGCAGGTTGCCGGCGTTGAGCATGGCATCGATGCCTCGACAATAATATTAATATTTTAACATTTCGTATTTTTATCGTCTTTTTTTTCCTAC